ATATTAGTTATTTATTACTGATGATTAGAAAATTGTAAGAAGATCTATTAAGTAAACGGTGAATGGGTGATGGTGAGTATGAAGTAAAAAACGGTGGTACGGCGTGATAGAGTGGGCGGAGGTGGCATGGACATGGGCTTCAGGGCTTGGGTTGGGTGGTATTGTTTGTATTTGGGTGCCCCTTTGCCCCCACCATGTGGAATTGTTGAGCTTATAATCAAAATTGTGGAGCTGTCTTCCCCATCCCATCACCCCTTCCATCCATCCTCTTTGTTTTATTGTTTCTATACGCTGCAGCACATGATGCTTGCTTCCTTTTTTAATTTCAATCATATCAAATCAAAATCTTTAATTACCTTCTTAATCATTTTAATGGGTCTGTATATGTTAAGTTAAACTGTTTTTGCTAGAATCTTTTTGTTTCATTTGTTTTGTATTCTAAAAACGCTTGATCATTAGCTAGCGCTCTTTTTTAACTTTATATTTGATTCTTTCTGTTTCAATTACATGCATTAGATAAGCACAACAAAAATTAAACTATTGAAAAGATATATACCATAATACCACAGGAAACGTTTCTATCTCTGTAGTGTAAGCCCTAAAAGAACAGACAAGACATTGTTTTCTTCGCCATATGGTAATTGCAATGCAAATATGTTTTACATTTTCCTAACCAATTGAATCTTCAATCCTCAAAATGAGTTCACAAATCAGATATACTATGATGTCATCTTACTAGAAACAATAATATTACTAAACAGTTTATGATAAGGATCAAACATCAAGTATCAATCGTATTAGGTCTATTATCCCACACCTCTCTTAGGGTCTACTCGAGAGGTTTTTTTTCTAATAGTTTTGAGGAGTTTTTAATTAGACTGGTTTTGAAGTGTTCTAAAACTATTACTTATTATATATTTTATGCACTGATTTTGACTAGCTCAAAAATCCCCTAGAACCAGTGTAGTATATTTTTGAGGGGTTTATAAAACACCTAAAATCAGGGTGTTTTGGTTGGTTTTAAAATTTTATTCCACAAATACCATATCCACTACAAAACTATCCCAATTATATCAAAAAAAAAAAAAAATTAACTATATTATGCGCGTTTCCAACCATATTAAATATAAAATAATTTTAAACAATCATAAAAATATATATATATATATTAAAATCTCATTTCTAGATGCTTTCTTAGAGAAGTGGAGCTACAATTTTTCAATCATTCCAGATGCTGCAAAAGCAAAGAAGGATAAAGAAACTTTATCACATTTGAAGTTATAAAATATTTATAAGTAGAAAACAAATAAAGAACTCTTACCTTGTAATTGAAAAAACAAAACTCCCAAGTACTGGTTGGAGTTGGGGTATTTTTATGGGCATACATGTAAATTTATCATTTTAAAAAACAGTCAGAATCGCTAGAAAATAAAATCTCAAGCATAGGTTGGGTGTTTTAAAAACCGTTACTAAAAACCCCTCAAAACTGTTATGGTGGTTTACCCTTAAAACTGTTACAGTGGTTTACCTTCATAATCGATACCATGAAACTCCCAAGCGAACCCCTAAGGTTTCATTTTCAGTTCCTCACACCCAAAAGGTAGGGGTGATTGATTTCAGGTACTTTACATTTTTTGAAGGAACCGGAACCGACATATCAATCGTATTAGGTATACTATCCACACCTTCCCTAAAGTTTCATTTTCAGTTCCTTTCACCCGAAAGGTAGGGGTGATCAGTTTTGGGTACCTTGTATATTTTTAAGAAACCGAAACTGGCGTATCAATCGTATTAGGTCTATTATCCCACACCTCCCTTAAGGTTTCATTTTCAGTTCCTCATACCTTAAAGGTAGGGGTAATTGGTTTCGAGTACCCTGCATTTTTTGAAGGAACCGAAACTGACCGATTCTAGTTCCTAGAAACCTAGAACCGAAACCTGAAACATAGGTTCTCGTTCTAGTTCTGGGTACCCAGATTAATTTTAATTACCCCATTTTTCAAAAAAAATAACAACTACACCCCAATAATTTACAAAATTACAATTCAGTCCCCTTCCTACTCGGATACCCGAACCTCGGTTTCGATTCTAGTTCCCAGTTCCAACATTACAGGAACCGGACCCGGACCCTAATAAGGCTGATTCTGGTTCTACCCTTTACCCATGATTACCCTTACCGAAAGGTATGAAAAATGAGCCCTAACCTCCCAGCATATTTGGAGAATTACCAATACTTCCCTTCATTGGCCTTAATTCATAATTCTTCAAACATGAAAGGAGGTTAGGGCTAATTTTTCATACATTTGGGGTGTGAATACCAAAACTAAAACCACAGGGTAGGTGTGGGATAATATCCTATTCATAAGGAATTGAAAATAATTGTTATAAGAAAATGTTTTATACTAATAATTACATTTCTTTGATATAAGATAAATAAAAAAAATACAATATAATAAGTTAAACCAAATAAGAAAAGTAATTAAAATTAATTTTCTCGATCTATTAGGAAAGTTATCCTACATCAATCAAACCCCTTCACACGAATATAACGCATCCTTGAAGTTGGGATTTTTTATGGATAATACTGAGGGGGCATTTGGTTGGGGATAATGTGGGATTACTGAAGTTATGTCATCTTATATTACTTTATTACCACGTTTGGTTGTCAAATAATATAAGATTCTTGTAATCTTCAAATATCAATAGTAATTACTGTTGGTAATATTGGAGGTAATCTGATTACCTCCATTTTCTTAGGTATTCTAAGATTATCAGGGTAATCTTTTTTTTTGTTACAATTCTTTCCCTTATTAATAAAATTTTAGGACAATAATGCCCTTATTTTTAAATTTATTTACATGAATTTGGCTGTTACTATTTCACCCCAATTAATTAACTTTTTGGACAAAATTACCCTTGAATTCAAAACAAATTGTAGCCCACCCAAGCCACCACCCCCATGCACCTGCCGCCACTGCTGTCGGAACGGCGCACGGAAGGCCAAAAATGGCCGTCGTGCGCCATATGGCCATTTCTAGCCAAATATCTGACTGAAAATGGCGAGATCATGCCAAATCTAGCCGTTGACGGCTAAATCTAATTTGGCCATCAAAGGCCAGATCGATGGCAGTTAACGGCCACGTTTGTAGCCATCAACGGCCATCGATCTGGCCGCTGATGGCCAGATCCATCGATTTGGCCGTCAACGGCCAGATCTGTCACATCTGGCAATTTCCTGCCTTCCGTGCGTCGTTAGGTTGCTAGTTGCCTGCAGTGGTTGCCGGCGGGCGACAATGGTTGGGTTGGTGGGGGTACTTTGTTGATTTTCCAAACTTTTATTATGAGGTTGTTTTTGGTAAGTTTTTAAATGCAGAGGGTTATAATAATCAATATTAAAAAATAATATAATAATAATATTTAATTAGATGACTATTCAGTAATTTAAATAATATATCCACCAATTTATTTCTCTCAACCAAACATATTAATATAACATACCTACCAATTAACCAAATACATTTTCCTGAAGATTCCTAGTAATCTTCAAGGTAATCTAACTTTTCAATAATCCAACATTCCCTGGACCAAACGTCCCCTCATTCTTTTATCTCTTTTTTCCATTGTCAGCTAAAAGCGTTGCCTTGTAAATACGTCAATGTCTTTGCCTGAATCGTTATTTCTTGCTCTATTTCAATTTCAACATATTAAACCTCTAGAAAAAAATTAATTCATTTAACAATTTGCTCTGTGTTAATTCCTAATTGCATCTTATTTTTAAAGTATTTAACTTCAATATGTTGATTGTGTTCAATTTATATTTCTTGTTCTTCGACCGTGGTTTCTACTTTATCATGATCTTGTATAAATATTTCAACCACTTGTTCTATAATGCTCAAATCATGAACCGCTTTAGAAATTGCTTTAAGCATTGTTTAAAAAAAAAAATTATCTCCTTCGATAGGTGTACTGTAAACTTCTTGATTAAGTTCCAATTTAAAACTCATAGGTGTGAGATTCTTTAGGGACTCTTGATTTGAGATTGGTTTCGAAATATAAATTGTGACTCTTTTTTTATGAATGCCTTTTTGTAGGGTGCTATGAAAGATAAAGATGGTTGATAAATGATATTCTAGTGGTAAATTTTTTTCTATTAACAATTTTTTTAGTTTAGACCATGTTCTTATGTGCTATTTTCCCGTCGACTTCTATTATACTTCACATCTTTCCATCGATCATAAGCACATGCTTAACTTGCTTTTCTTTTAGAATATTCACAAAGTAATCTTCCACTTTTAACCAATTAACAAAGTTTCCCGTTCAAATTTTTATTGAAATAAAGAAGATCGATATTTATCTTATAATCCTTAGAACTTCGCTTAGAATCTTGTTATAAAAGTTATTCATTGAAGCCCTTTTATTGAAATCAATAATCTATCTCTTTGATGTTGGACAATAAGTTTGGTTCTGCTTTCAATCTAAATTCTTATTGTCACTAGTATCTAGTATATCCAACCTATGAAGTATTAGTTGTAATAGATCTTGAATGGTGTCTTTAACAACTTAATGAAGCATAAATGCAAAAATAATAAAAAGAAAAACTATGGCATAATAAAATAACATGTTTATTAATAAATATATGATAAAAAATTAAATGGCTATCAAACTAGTAAAAATATTTATTTATACTAGTTACAAAGACTAAAAAGCATAAGAAAAACTAATTATAATAAGAAAATGTTTCTACTAATAATTACATTGGTTGACATAAGAAATATAAAAATACTAAAAAAATTAAATAAGAATTCAAATTAAAATAGGATTTTTTAAACTTTTAAGACTTGTAATCTTTTCCAGTCTTTAAGCCCAAAATTGAATTGGGCTAATATTGGTTTGGATACTTAACAAAAAAAAATATTGGCTTGGGCCTCCAGAAGCTGCAATCGTAAACGCTGTAGACACTAGACAGGAATAGCCTTCAGCGTTGCACAGTCCAGACACAAGAAGAACTTGAACGCATTCCGCTCAATTCAAAACTTATATACCTCAAACAGAGTGCTTCGATATTCACTCTCGCATCTGAGTAAATAACCTAGAAATTGCATAGCAACAACGAAAAAAACAATGGAAGAACCTCAAAACGACAATGCAAGCTCGATTGCAGCAGCAGAGGAGGATGCGGAGGCCGTGGTGGGGCCGACACCGGCGCCTAAGGCCCGGGCCAAACGTCCTCTTCAGTTCGAGCAAGCCTATCTCGATTCTCTTCCCTCCGCTAACATGTATGCTTTTTACGGCTGCCTTTGTCATTTAACTGTTTCAGGGTTTAGGGTTTTCTTCAATTCTGTTGTTTTGAATGAGCTTCTTGTTCTTGATTCCATGATGTAGTCTTGCATTAAGTTAATTTTTTTTTTTTTTTTAATTTGTAGTTGAATTAGAGAGTTTGCTTTTGCCGTGTAATTAAAATATCGATTATGACGTTTCGAATGTGAGAGATTTTTGGTCGGAGGCGTATCAATGATCATGTAACATAATTTTTAAATTTTACTGATAATGGTGGTGGTTAGATGGGTAAGAGAAAACATTAACCATAATTTATCGGGCAGCTTATCAGGTCTTCCATCTAAGTCTTTTTCTTAGAATGATTTAGCTTCGTGAAGTACACATTACTATATTAAAACTTGCATTTGATCTGACCCCGTTTTTCATACAACTGTATTCTTTGTTCTTGCTTGATGGGTAAAGGGAGAAATACCGGGCAAGAGTTAAAACCTGACATAAGCTGTTTTTGCACTTTTTTTCTTTTAATTATTCATGGTGTTTTAGTAGCCATGCCTCACATTTGAAGGCCTGATCAGTTTGGTGTTTCCGTCTCCTAAGTACCTTGTGTTGTTTTTATTTATTTATTATTTGTTCTGGGTAGGGTATAAACCTGTCTTTACTACCAAAATCATCTTAGGTATCAAAATAAATAAATAAATAAAAATTAATCATCCTCCTATGGAGCTGCTGCTAACAGAGACTACGTAAAAGACCTAAATTTTATTGTTTAACCCTCAAAGCACAGACCTCATTGAGTTGTAGTGATGCTAATTCTTGAAGCTTTGTGCAACCTTGTGAGCCAATTTCCTTCTGGCACATCTTTGCCAATAGCAAAAGGCAAGGTAAAACTCAAAGAGCAGCACTAAGCCAACTGTCTATCTAGTGTAATGCACACTCTTTTGTGGAAGATGTGACCAAATGCGGTTGTAGTATTTAAGATAGGATCATTATTGTCCACCTCCATATATTGAAACCCTGTTTACATTGCTTCCTGCCAAACATGTGTTGACTTATGTCGTTCTGGCAACTTTTGTGCATCATGCATTACAATTATGTTTTATAATTCACTCAATTATGCTAGATTTGTCTCCAAAGTCCAAACTACATTGTCATGTGAACGAAAGTTGGTGTGGGGATGAGCCTTATGCACTTTTTTCAGGGTTTCTATTGTCATATTCATGTGTTTACTTTAGTTTTTTCTTGTTTACTACATTTATTTTCATTTTCCTTGTATTTTTTCTAATTTCATGAGCTTTCGCTGAAGACTTCATTTCTTTCTCTTCTCTTTTTCTTTTTGGCGTTCGTGAATTGAAGTTGCTTTCTTAAGTGCACTCATGCTCACTTTCCTGGCTATGTTTTTGACTTTCATGAATTTCTACTGGTGATGCCCTCATTTTCCTATTGATAATTGTTCACTTCCTTTTAGATGATGCAACATAATTAAAGTCTAAATTTTTATAGATTGTTTTCTTTTGCATTATTTTGAGATATTTGCAGATATTTGTAGTTCAATGTAATTGCTTGATAGTGCTTTATTATCTTTTCTTCAATTTTGGGCAAGAGTTGTTTATAAATGTGTAAAAAGATGTAAATGTTATAGAAAATGGTTGTTCTTGATCCTTATTTTGCAGGTATGAAAAAAGTTATATGCACCGCGATGTAGTTACACATGTTGCCGTGTCTACTGCAGATTTTTTCATAACTGGGAGTGCTGATGGTAAATTTAAGACAATTCTTCTCTCTTGCAGATATTGCATATGTATTTCAATTCCTCATAGTTTTCATTATTTCTTTTGCATATGCTCTATAGTTATTCAGTTACCAAGTTTTTGATCCGTCACTGGAGAACTCCTTCTACTTGTATCAAGCCAGTGACTTTTGGCAATCTTATGGGGACTGCTTATTCATCTTACTGTTTCCATTTTATTTTTCTTGGCAATAAAAGTGCACTGTTTGTTTCTCTCTCTCTTTTCTTTTGTAGAAACAACTAGGACTTTTAAGCCGTAATTAGCACACTTGTGTAGATTGTTCGAGAACATTGCTGATGGATTGTCTTGTTGGATTGCTAATGAAAAGTGTCATATAGGCGCCTGAATTGGAAAAAGAAAGTAGTTTATATGCTCTTCCTTTCACTAAAATTTCTAGAGGAATGAATTTTTTCGAGTTATTTGGATATCATAACTAGCATCATTCTAATTTTTATGTCTCTATGTTATTTTGTTGATGTGTTTTTGCACCTCAACCATGTGATCTATCTATTTTTTGAGAGTGAAAACCCTATATATTGTGTGCACAACCATGCACCATTAAAATTATTATGTTTGTGTTAATTCATCGAAGTGTTTGCATAACTTTGAGATTGGTAACTTTGCATGGGCAACAAACATTATCTATGTGAAAGCTTCATTAAAAGAATCTATCAATATGAGATCCAAACATAGATAACATGTAGCAAGGTAGGTTGGTGGGTTTTCTATGCCACAAACAGAATCCTGGTAGCGGTTCTAATTACAGATTTTTTTTCACCACCAAATACAAAGTTGCAATTTTTAGGGTGATGTTGATGCTTCTCTATGATAGCAACACTTTTATAGCTGGAATAGTATGTTGTTTTCTCTTTGATTAGATTAAATAGATGAAGAAATTATCTTTTCTATACAATTTACTTATTTTTGTTTCTAAACCAGGGCATTTGAAATTCTGGAAGAAGAAAGCTATTGGCATTGAGTTCGCTAAGCATTTTAGATCGCACCTTGGTCCAATTGAAGGCCTAGCGGTGAGCTCTTCTGCCTTGTATGAATTCACACATACCTTATATGTATACTATTATGCAAACTGATCTTGTGGTTGTGGTGTTCCACTAATTCCTTGGCTGTTGCTTAGATATATGCTTTTAACTCTTTCAATCCAGGGAGAGATAGTAATTGTACTATCATTTCTTATTGTAAGGTGTTGTATTTCTTTGATTGCCTATTCATGACTATCAGTGCTAGTCGTGTGATTTTTTTGTTACAGTGCTTCCATTTGGCATTTAGAAGTGCAAGTCTTAAAGACATTCTATTAGACAAGCTTGGGTTCCATGAGTAATATTTATAAAAAACTTCCGTGTAATTCTATGAATATGAACATTCATGTTCTCATTTATTTAGTTTATTTGCAAAAAGGGTTTTGCGAATGTGGCCCTGGACATCAATTTTCAATTGTGTTCATTCGTGAACAGGTCCTAGTTAATGCAACACATTCAACGGTTTTTCTTCTAGTTCTATTTTCTGCTATTCTCTATGGTCAAATTTTCTTCATTATGGCAGTCACTGACCATGTTTGGTTCAACTATGCAGGTGAGTGTTGATGGCTTGCTTTGCTGTACCATTTCTAGTGATCGTTCTGTGAAAATATATGATGTTGTTAACTATGACATGATGGTCATGATCCGCCTTCCATTTATTCCTGGTGCTGTTGAGTGGGTGTATAAACAAGGGGATGTGAAAGCTAGACTTGCCATCAGTGATAGAAACTCCTCATTTGTGCATGTATATGATGCACGGGCAGATTCAAATGAACCTATCATTTCTAAAGAGGTATTGCACCGCTAAGAAGCTAAACAATTAACTCTTCCCGATTTTTTTTTCTTGTTTTCTTTCCCTAGCTGTGATAATATTCATTAGTCTTGATCAACTCTTTTTTTTTCAGATACACTTTGGGTCGGTAAAAGTAATGAGATACAATACTGTCTTTGACGCTGTGATATCTGCTGATGCTCAGGGGATTATTGAATACTGGAACCCTACTACGCTTCAATTCCCAGAGAGCGAGTATGTGTTTGTATACAATTTTTATTATCATTGCAAGCAATGTTTGCCCTTTATTTTATGTTTTGAATACCACTCATGATTACTTGTCCAATCTGTCACAAGCAAGGGAAGCTTGGGGGTGATTAAGACCCTTGGCCCCAAGGTTGTAGACTTGGTGAACACATAGAAAAGTTGAAAAATTCTGGGTTTCAAATATATATATACACACACATTCTAAATACTATCTCCATGCAATTGTGTTTTGTTTTTACTGCAAGTCATTCTTCTTACATCTTGCTTCATGGATCCTTGCTTATAACAGCTAGTGTCTCAGTAATATTGTTGTATGAGATGTAATTTATGTTGGGGCTTGCCTCTTATATTTGTTAGGCCAGCCCTTTGATCATTTTTGTAAAAAAAAAAAGTCTAATTATAGATCAAGATTTAGTGTTCGTGTAAGGACTATCTGATAATGTTTTAGATCTTCACTATCATAAGCTCTTCTAAGTTTTAGTTCGCATTCTGATGTATTTACTTTATTCCCTTGCTTTAACATTTTCAAGTGTTGCACTTTGGATCCTTCTGATTCTTTTTTACTATCGTTGTCTTGTATATGCTTGATCTGTAACTCCTTTCTATGTGGCTGAAATCCTGCATTGCAGTTTGGAATATAATGTTGGTACTGCTGAAATAGATCATTTAATTGTTAGATGGACCTGATTTTTCTCAGTAAATTAATGACCGTGGATTTTTTATGTGGCAGGGTGAATTTTAGATTGAAAAGTGATACCAATCTCTTCGAAATTGTGAAATGCAGGACAAGTGTTTCTGCTATTGAGGTAATATATATATCTATGCCAGAAGAATGTTTTTATAATGGATTCTATTTCTTTCTGTCTCTGACACCCTAATGAGGAATCTACGATTTTTAATATAAATTGTAATGCTTAATTATTTTATAAGTGTGAAATAGTGAGGCTTGATGGTTATAAAACTTGTTTATGTGAAAAACTATTATCTGGCCTTTCAGGTGACCCAGATGGTAAGCAGTTTTCCATCACGTCGCCTGATCGGAGGATACGTGTGTTTTGGTTCAGAACTGTAACTTAGAAGAGTTTATGAAATCACTTGAGGTATATTGATTTGCTATAAAATTCTAGTAAGAATATTTATCCTTTGAGCCCAATGGGATGGTCAAGTATATTTTTTTTTTATTAGGTGGCCCAAGATCTCCAAGAAGTGACACTCCTTTATATCGACTGGAAGCTATTGATTTTGGAGAAGAATGGCTGTTAGAGGAAATTGAGAAAACAAAGTGCACCGCCACAAATGCAATTTTCGATGAAAGCTCTAATTTCCTTATATATCAACCCTCCTGGGATAAAAGTATAAATATTGCTCCATTTTATTAGATATGGAGATACTTGCTCTCTTTGTTTTGGTTGTCTTAGCATCATTGATCATCTCTTTATTAGTATTATATTTTTATTTCTTTCCTGATATATTTGATAGGTAGTAAATTTACACATGAATAAAGTGGCCCGGATCCTTGGGAAGGTGGAGAACAATGATAGGTTCTTGAGGATTGCCTTGTATCAAGGTGATCGAAGTAGTAAAAAGGTTAGAAAGATCCCAACTGCTGCAGCAAATGCCAACGAGAGCAAAGAGCCTTTGACAGATCCTACTCTCCTGTGTTGTGCTTTCAAGAAGCATCGAATCTATTTATTTAGGTACAAAAGTACTTTGCTAACTTTACTGTTTGCAAAATTGTTTCTGAATTTTGTTATATTTTGTGAGTGTGCTAGTTCAACTAGAGATTGTTACGATTAATCAATTATTTTGCAACATAAACAAAAACCAGAACCATTAAAAGTTTTACATGCTGGACTTTTGTTCTATAGGACACATCAAGGGAGGTCATCTATGGCATTGTCATGGACCTCTATGATTCATTTAATTTGTCATCAATCATCTTACAACTCCAATAATGAAATTTATCTGGTATATGTTACCCGAAAAGGCAATCAAGACTTCCAGTTTTTTAGGAACTATGCACTGAAAGTCTGAAATGGTTGTCAGGTCTAATTTTATTTGAATATTGATGGTGAGATTAGCTTAGTTTACTACCTCTAAATTGTAGTTTGTTCAAAAATTCTCCAGCACATTGAGGGTGTGCTTTTGTTTTTGATGAATTTTTGAAGAATTATTTTTGAATGGCAAGTTTAACCCAAACTCTATATGGTTGCAATAGTCGGAGAGAACCAGAGGAGCCTGAAGACGCAACCAAGGGAAGGGATGTATTTAATGAGAAGCCTCCTCCAGATGAACTTTTGGCCGTGTCAGATATAGGAAATGCAGTCACTACATCTCTTCCTGACAATGTGGTGAGTTTGGTTTTTCTTTATTTATCTTTACGTTTTCAAAATCAAGAAATCCAGACTCAGTTGTAACTGTTATGTACCAATTAAATTAAGGAGTCACTTGGTTTCACAAAATATGCTTTTGTGTGCATGAGCCAAAATTTCTTTTCCTAACATTAAGAAACCATCATAGGAATTCTTTTGAAAACAATTTGGTTTAATTTGTTACTCAAGAGATAAGGGTAAGCAAGTAATCCAAAAGCTCACACAAACAGTAACCTGTTTTGAGAGGAAAAGTTAAGGAACAGAAAAACCAACATGATGCACTCCATGAAGATAATAAATTCTTTTGTGAGTCAAATTGGTGATACCTTACCAACAGATTTACACATGAAGGATTAACAGTTCGATTGCAAGTTCTCCATGTTTTACATTAAATTTTCATTGACCCAAAAGAGAGGTGCTATTCTTCCTCTTTTTCTTCTTTGTTTTCCATTAAATGAACAAATAACTGAATTTAGAAATAAAGGACGCTGTTTGGTAGTGGAAAGGAAGGTTGTTCTGAAAATTCCTTGAGTATATCACCAGCTCTCATAACTTCCCTGTCCCACACACTGGTGAGCTATGGAATAAATTCTAGTAGGTGTCACAAAAGTGGTTAGCAGTGGACTCAAGATTAACGCTTCCTGCAGTACTTGAACCTGGCATGATAAAGAGGAAAGGTTCCCAACTCGACAACCACTGACAAACAACTCACTGTTGTAATATAACTAGGAAGATGTGATGATTAATTTCATCAACCACATTCTTCACATATGTGGATGGAATGATGGAATCCTCAGTACTAACTCTGGCTTCCCCATTTTGCTTTCTGGATCTGAGGCTTCCCATCTTTATTGCTCATTTTGAATCCCTTTCCATACTATCCTTTGCAGACATATCTTAGGCTTTATAAAGTAGCCTTGATAGGTTAGTATTTGTATGTAGCTTATTCTTTCACTCCAACCCTGACACCTTGTATTATATTCCATGTTAACTAGTTCTTAGTATGAAAGCCCTATGACTCAGACGAGTCTTTCCTTGACGGTTAGTTTATTTGTAGATTTAGTCCTGAAAATTACTTGTTGAGTACATGAAGCATAAATCAGTTTTACCGCTGTGTGTATGTTATGATGGGCAGAATGACTCCTCACATTCTTTTTTTTTAAGTGCTATCCTTGGAATATTTGATAGGCTGCTCGTAACTTTTTTGTGATTATTTCTCTGCTTTCCTAGATTTTGCATACAACAATGGGTGACATTCACATGAAACTTTACCCAGAAGAATGCCCAAAAACTGTGGAGAACTTTACAACACACTGCCGAAATGGCTATTATGATAATCTCATTTTTCACCGTGTCATTAAAGGCTTCATGGTTCAGACTGGAGATCCTTTGGGAGATGGCACTGGTGGGCAATCTATCTGGGGAAGGGAATTTGAAGATGAGTTTCACAAAAGGTAATAATTGTTATATATTAGCATGATGAAGCACCACATTTTTTGCACTGATTTTACATAATACTTCTGTCAATATCTTTGTTTCAAAGTTTTTTTTTAACCTACATGACAAGCAAAGGTTACAAGAAAAAAATTTTGTTTCTAATTTACAGCTCAACTACTGACATACTACTTCTTACTGGTTACCATGTCTTATCATGTCAGTCGTATTTCTGTTATTATTTGCTGGATATTGTCATTTAATATGTTGTCTTTATGTTCAATGACTAAGTATATGAAATACTTGTGTATCTGCAGCTTACGACATGATAGACCTTTCACAGTTTCAATGGCAAATGCGGGGCCAAATACAAATGGCTCTCAGTTCTTTATTACCACTGTAGCTACTCCGTGGCTGGACAATAAGCACACTGTTTTTGGTAGAGTTATAAAGGGCATGGATGTTGTACAGGTATTATTTTTTTACTTAAGACTTGCCCGACGGTTATTTAATGTCTGTTTCACAGATTGGCACTATCGGGCCATGTATGTTCAAACTTTTGAAAATTATCTGGTAACCTTCTTATCAAAACTAAACTGAAGAGAGATTTTTTGCTGTTAAATTTGGGGTTTGCCCAACAATATGTTTGGTAATGGGCCTGCAAGTTGAGAAATGGCAGGCAGGGTCGCCCCTACATGATATATTGTTGTCCGTTGTATATATCTCTTCATATATCACAGAATAACCAACATTTGAGATTCTTTTTACTGTTGTCAGGCTATTGAGAAAGTGAAGACAGACAAGGCAGACAAGCCATATCAAGATGTAAAGATCCTAAACGTGACTGTCCCCAAGTCATAGGCGTTGTTTTCCATTGAGTGTACAATCTGTGTATACATGGTTGGAGGTCCACATTAACAATTATTGGCTGCCAAAACAAAAACATATTTCAGGAAGTCTTTTGTTTGTTTTCTCAACCACTGTTCCATGCAGTGTTTCAGACTACAATCATGAGTCCATTATTTGAGAAGATTAAAAGTGTTGGCGTAGACATCCTGTTCGANATCATGTCAGTCGTATTTCTGTTATTATTTGCTGGATATTGTCATTTAATATGTTGTCTTTATGTTCAATGGCTAAGTATATGAAATACTTGTGTATCTGCAGCTTACGACATGATAGACCTTTCACAGTTTCAATGGCAAATGCGGGGCCAAATACAAATGGCTCTCAGTTCTTTATTACCACTGTAGCTACTCCGTGGCTGGACAATAAGCACACTGTTTTTGGTAGAGTTATAAAGGGCATGGATGTTGTACAGGTATTATTTTTTTACTTAAGACTTGCCCGACGGTTATTTAATGTCTGTTTCACAGATTGGCACTATCGGGCCATGTATGTTCAAACTTTTGAAAATTATCTGGTAACCTTCTTATCAAAACTAAACTGAAGAGAGATTTTTTGCTGTTAAATTTGGGGTTTGCCCAACAATATGTTTGGTAATGGGCCTGCAAGTTGAGAAATGGCAGGCAGGGTCGCCCCTACATGATATATTGTTGTCCGTTGTATATATCTCTTCATATATCACAGAATAACCAACATTTGAGATTCTTTTTACTGTTGTCAGGCTATTGAGAAAGTGAAGACAGACAAGGCAGACAAGCCATATCAAGATGTAAAGATCCTAAACGTGACTGTCCCCAAGTCATAGGCGTTGTTTTCCATTGAGTGTACAATCTGTGTATACATGGTTGGAGGTCCACATTAACAATTATTGGCTGCCAAAACAAAAACATATTTCAGGAAGTCTTTTGTTTGTTTTCTCAACCACTGTTCCATGCAGTGTTTCAGACTACAATCATGAGTCCATTATTTGAGAAGATTAAAAGTGTTGGCGTAGACATCCTGTTCGAGCTTCAAGGAAGAAAGACCGGAAAAAAAAAAAAAAAAAAAAGATAGGAAAATGCAGTGGGTGATTTCAAGATCATTGAGACCCTACCCTAGAGGGATAAATTTCCAAACATAGTTCAGGAAGAAATCTTAACAATAGTTTATTTACTGTTAACTCATTTTGTAGAAATCTCAACAGTAGTTCTTCTACTTCTACTGTTCTTGACTAATTTTGTTGCTTGAGTTGAGAAGTATGTTGTGTTCAATTCAAGTGATGCTGCTGGTTTTTCTTGTATTTTTAACTATTTTATCAAGTGCAATTTTTGGTAAGTACAATGTTTTGAATTTAGAGAAAGAAAAATATTTGGAGCAATCTGTCTGTTTAGGAATCCTGAGTCTCAGATTGTAGAAGCCAAATTAAATTTTCTAACCCAAGATGTCCTCGTCTCTGGAAAGAAAATGACAATTTCGTCCCTGAGATTTGCTGTAACAAACTTATTAAAGTTTTAGTCTCAGTAACATTTTTGTCCTGTTTGCTAATGACAAAGACGAGAACATTATTGACATTGACACTCGACACGACAGTAGACTTGGTAAAACGAGTCTGGACCCGCGGGTCAGCTCGTACTGGGTAAAAAATATAGGGTACGGGTCTAATTTATTAAACCCAATTTTGGAGACCCGTATCCGTACTCGGCCCAATTATACACGATTTATACCGGTGAACCCGCGGGCACCCGTATTTGCACTAATGAATTTGAATCCTTAACCCTTTTGCATCTCATCTCTTAGACTCAAAATAACTCAAATCTCTCTTGCGATCCTGCCTCTCAATCTCTCATCAGTCTTCTTCGTGCCTGAAGTTCAACTCCCTGTCTCGGTGTCTCCCTCTTCGATTAATCGTTAGTTCAAGGTTCTGCCTCCCAATCTACCTCGATTAATTGAATAAGTCGAGACTCGGCGAGTGAGGAAGTTTCTGAAGCTGAGGCCGCGGGATCTCTGGAGTGTTTCCACGAGGGTTTTGAGGCTACTGAGATGTTGAGAAAGAGTTGAAAGGTTTGGGTCTTTGGAAAGGATGGTGTCGGACTCGGTCTGGAGCTCGAGGAGAGCTTTAATGGCAGAAGAATTGAAGTCGTTTAAACTAGAAGAGGGGTGGGCTTGGAGGTCGTGAGAGGCTTGTTTGAGAGCTTCTAGGACGTTGAGAACTGCAGGGGGTTCTGGGTCTGCCATGGAAGATAAAGAAGAAGAGGGGAAGTTTTGGAGAGTTAAAGAGTTTGGATTTGATTTTAACTAGTGAGAAAAGAGGAGGCAACGACTGGTCAGTGAGTCGTCGTCGTCTTTGTTTTTGTCTGTAATTTGTATCCAACCACCGACTTCCACCTTCCTCTTCTGCATGTTAATCTTTATTCTTTAATTATATATACAAGTACAATTCCATTTGGTATCATGATATTCCTTGAATAGGTTCTGCCTCCCAATCTACATCGACAAATGGGAGCATTGATAAAAATCTCAATTCAAGGTCAAGTTCAGATGTTCCAACACCACCTATAAACACTGTTGTGGGAGGAAAAGCTTCTCTTCAGCCAAAACGTACACCCGTCTCTGAGAAGGAGATAGAGGCCATTCTGGTGAGAAAAATATCCTTTACCATATACAATAGTGGAACTAACTGTACCATTAAAGGTTAAGATTTTTGACAAGGAGTTATGTCGAGTCATGCTTCGAAACAATCTACATTCTCTAAGCTTCTACTTGGATCTACCTAGTTGAACTATAAACAATACAATTTTACAATGTTCACTACTTTACTGGGAACAATGAGATCTCACCAATGAGCTTTTCAGGGTCAAGGGGGGAAGCACCAGACGGGGTTCGATATTGTTTCTGTGCATAGTAGTTTAGACTTTAGATTCATTGTAGTGTCAATTTGAAAACTTCAAGGCGATTACGAAATATTATGCAAGGGGTGACTCATAGAACAGAGTAAAAAAATAAAAATTGGTTTGGCATTTTAAGCCAGTAAATTTTCTGTATGCTGATTTTAGCTTCTTGTTTCTGATGCAGTTGGGAGGTTGCTTCTGATCTTAGGATTGGTATGCTGTATTGAGGAAATGCAATCTGCAATAAAAAACTTCTAAGGGAATCTTTAGCATTTTCATATTTGCATGTGAAGAAGTTGTAATCTCTTTTATTCCTTTAAATTTAATCATCAATTTTCCTGATTTGAGTAGTTGATTTAGGAGGTGTAAATGTAAAAAATTAAAACTGCAGGAATTTTGGGGATGTAACTGTCATAATTGAAAACTATTATGGGTGAAATAAAAACCAAAATCTGGAGAGAGAAAAAACGAGTCCACCCGCGGGTCCATCCATACCCGTATAGGGTAGAGCACGGGTCCAATATTTTGGACCCGTATAAGGACCCGTACCCGTTTGACCCGGACCGTACCCAACCCACCCACCCGTTTTGCCATGTCTACACGACAGGGACAAAAATGTTACTAAAAAACTCCACGAAGCTAAAGTGCGTTTGAGTTAAACCTTAGGAACGAAATTGTAATCATCCCTCTACCTCGTATTATCGCTGCAGCGTGCAGTCTCTTTCGGTTTTATCAAAATTGTTCTAGAATTGTCTTAATCTGCGTTCTTATTCATAACAAAACAAAATTGTAATCATCCCTCTACCTCGTATTATCGCTGCAGCGTGCAGTCTCTTTCGGTTTTATCAAAATTGTTCTAGAATTGTCTTAATCTGCGTTCTTATTCATAACAAAACAAAATTGTAATCATCCCTCTACCTCGTATTATCGCTGCAGCGTGCAGTCTCTTTCGGTTTTATCAAAATTGTTCTAGAATTGTCTTAATCTGCGTTCTTATTCATAACAAAACAAAATTGTAATCATCCCTCTGCCTCGTATTCTCGCTGCAGCGTGCAGTCTCTTTCGGTTTTATCAAAATTGTTCTAGAATTGTCTTAATCTGCGTTCTTATTCATAACAAACTTTATAAACTCCTTAATCGCGTTTGGTTAGAGATAATGTGAGATTATTGGAGTTATGTCATCTTATATTACTTGATTACCATATTTGGTTGTCAAGTAATATAAGATTCTGGTAATTTTCAAATACCAATAATAGTTACTGTTGTTAATATTAGAGGTAATCTGATTACCTCGATGACGGATCTGGTCGTCGACGGTCATATCTATCACGTTTGGCCATTTTCGGTCAGATTTCTGGCCGAAAATGGTCATATGGTGCACGAAGGCCATTTTTTGCCTTCCGTGCGCCGTTAGGTTGCTGGCGGCCAGCAGTGGCTGGATTGGTAGAGGTGCTTTGTTAATTTTCCAAACTTTTATTATGGAGTTGTTTTTGTCTTTATTTTAAAACCCGGACCGACTGGTCTGACCGGTTCGACCGGGAGTCGTCTTTTACTTCGGTTCAGGTTTACATAAAACCGGGAATGTCAATAAATCTGTTTTGGACCGGTAATGGACCGACGAAACAATACAAAACCGTCGAACCGACCGGTCCGGGGCTTAAAACGGTTCGTCTAATTCAAAAAAATTCATATTCCTAAACTAATTTCAGCACCGTTTTATTATCTTCCATTTTCATCTTCAACTGTAAAAAAGAAGTAAGGGGAGGGGAAGGGAAGGGAAGGGAAGGAAGAAGAAAGAGAAGAGGAGACACGAGAAAGAGTAAGGAAGAAGATTAGAAGAAAGAAAAGAGGAGATGAAGAGAAAGAGAAGGAAGAAGAAAGTGAAGAAAAATTACAGTAGAGGAAGAAGAAAGAAGAAGAAAGTGACGGGGAGTGATGGGGAAGAGAGACAGAAAAAAGGAAAAAGAAAGAAATTGGTGGAGAGTGATGGCGTGATGGGGGAGAGAGAGAAAAGTGAAAGATGGATGTGAAAGGGAGAGAGAAAAAATATTTAATAATAAAACTTGAGGGTGTATTTACTTTATTTTAAACTTACAGGGGTTTATATAACTTTTAGGGATATATTTGCTGGTTTTCAAACTTATAACAATTAATGGAATTGTTTAAAGATGAGACTGTTACATACCGGTCAGACCGACCGGTCCAATTGGTTGGATCGGTCAACCCGCGAATCGGCCCTTTAACCAGGTCAACGAGCGGTCCGATTTTTAAAACAATGGTTTTTACTAAGTTTTTAAATGCAGAGGGCTATAACAATCCAAATAATAATCAATATTAAAAAAAATATAATAATAATATTTAATTAGAAGACAATTCAATAATTTAAATAACATACCTACCAATTTATTCCTCCCAACCAAACATATTAATATAATATACCCACCAATTAATCAAACACATTTTTCTAAAGATTCTCAGTAATTTTCAAAGTAATCTAACATTTCAGTAATCTAACATTCTCAGTAATTTAACATTCCCTAAACCAAACGCCCTCTCATAGTTATCTTGAGAAGAATAGTATAAAATATAAATACAAAAAAGGGAAATTTTCTTTGGAATTCAGTTAAAGTATTAATGTTGATTATAAATTCACTTAAAACGAGTTTTATTCCGGAAATGAACATAAACTCTTTTAGAAACTAATTAAACCATCTTAAATTTTATATATTGTTTAGAATTTCCCATATAAAGAAAGCCATTAATGAAAACCTATATGTGGAAGCCACCAAAATCCCAACTAGTTCCAAATTTTAACCAATTTGTTTGGCTAAAGATTGCCTAATATACCTTATCTCACTGAAGATTCAAGAATTCTGAAATTTCAACCTGTTCTTAAATTTTCAGAGTTTTATGTTTAATTCATTACCAAGACCAAGAGAAATATACATTTATCTTTATTGAATGATGCAATAAGTAATCCATTTCAGCTCCGCGATAGAATTTGTCATGGTACTAGGATGATCTCAATTATTTTTCTAATTTCTAAAGATAAAGTCTAATAACGATATTGAATTAATATTAGATGATTAGATAGATATACCAGCAAAAGAATAATTCAAATGGTTGGTAATGAGGTAACGTTACACAGTGATGGAGCCAGCAATTTGTTTCAGTGGAGGCAAATTAAAAATTAAACGTAAATTCTATAAATTAAAAAACTTGAGGCACTGATTAATATTTCTACTTTGAATAGATGAAGAATTTAATCATTAGAGAAAATATAATATTGAAATTATAAAATATAGTGGTTGTTTTATTGATTTAATCATAAGTGAGAGAAGAAAAATCTGAAGCTTGAAGTATATCAAAAATTGACGAAAAAGAATCAAAATATGGAAAAATTAGAGTAACCCAAAGACTTAACTCTTTTGTAGAAGAAAGTACAAAATTGAATTAAATTTTTCAATGGAAGGGGGCATAAGCCCCCACTTCAGCCCTTGGTGTCTCCGTCCCTGACGTTACACACCATTGTCCCTAAAGAGGTAACATAATGAATTTAACAGTAAAGATTGAAAAATAATTGGGGCCCAGCAGAGTCAAGTCAAGTCTCCAAAAATAAAAGCGCGTGGCATAACAATGCGCGTGTAACAGATTGATGCAAGTGGTTACAGTCCTACCTGTCTGAGTAATAATGTTACTATGTATAGCTTCTACTGCCAAATGAAGACCAAAGTGCCAGTTTAGAAAATCATCATCTCTCACTCTTTAACGCTCAAACTTCTTCTACATAATGACAAAATTTTCATATGCTTTGTTTTTATTCTCTGCCTGCCCATCAGTTACTTATCATTCTCACTGCCACTTTGCTTTATAAACAGTTCCTCCATTCTTCATTTCTTCATCTCTAACTCTCGCTCTCTCTTTTTCATTTGTGTTCATTTCATCATACCTTTCTGTTCTTCCCTATTTCAACCAACAAAATGGTGGGAACTAGCCTTGAACAACAGCTTAGGAACTTCCTTCGTTCCATGCATGACCAGGTGGTCATCACCTTCATCCTTATACACCACCTCTTCTTTATCATCTCTCTACGTTTATCTTTTTCTTATAAGATTTTGATTGTTTTGCGGTCTTTGCAATCTTCTTTTTTTTCTTTTTTCTAATGGATTTCTCATTTTGGGTTTATGCTTAATCATGTTTAAAAAGGTTATATATTTATTATGATACGTGGTATACATCTATGTGAGAAAGACAAACAGTTGTACAGTGGCTTGCTCTTTTACTTGTTTTGATGAATTTTGTTGTTGAAGATTGCATTAATGCATGTTCATTTTATGAGGGAATCACACTTGTAATTCAACTTATATATGCTTCCTATCACTGTATTAGTTTCATGGTTTAATTTCTCTGGATTCTGCTCTGTTTGGTTGTTTTGTTAGTTGTCTTGAGTGTTAAGAAAACACCATAAAATCAACTCAGTTAAATCCTGTTTAATAATAATTTATTAACACTATGAAAGTATGTGAATAATTTTATGTAGCTTTCGTTTCTCTATATCAGGAACTCGAAAATATGTGCAATATAAACATGATATATTGAGGATAAATTTAAAAGCATTCTTTCCATATAATGTTATTGGATTTTTATTCTGATTGAGTTCCTGTTACTTGCAGGGTATTCTGGATCATAATTTTGAGAATGTTAGGAGATTACAGACTCAAGGGAATCCTCAGTTTCTTACCGAAGTGATCACTATGTTCATCAATGATGCTGATGTTTCCATGGCAGAAACAACCAGGCTCATGTACTTTTAAAATTTCGTTTTGGTGTCTTAATTCAGTTTAAAGTAAATATTTCTGCTGATTTTCTCATAATGATTACTGTATTTCATCTATGATCAGGAATGAACCTGAACTGGACTATGAAACTTTAACTAGCTACCTTCATCAACTAAGGGGAAGTAGCGCGAGGTAATAATTTCAAATTACTATCTGAATGATCGAAGTTTTATGAGAATCTGATGGCTACTATGTCCTGTTTGCATACTATTGATTGAGAAATTTCTAGTCTATCTATATATGCATGGCATTTGATGCATATCCGAAATGATCGGAAGCATTCAATGATAAGAATTCTTGGTTGTGTTTGCACGGCATGTGCTAAAGGTTTCTAAACATGTGGAAACACCTATTAATTAGCTGAGGAAAAATCTCTTATTTTGTAGGCATTTGCATGAATGAATTACTACTAAGTACATGTGATATTATGTACGTAACGACAATATAGCGATCGATCTAAATTTTGTCAGATATATGTATTGATATGCACGCAGTGGATGTAGCGCGTGGTATACATTCACAAAATGTTGGAAGCACGCGTTGGATGTTGCGCGTGGTATACATTCACAAAATGTTGGAAGCACGCGTTGGATGTTGCGTGTGGTATACATTCACAAAATGTTGGAAGCACGCGTTGGATGTTGCGCGTGGTATACATTCACAAAATGTTGGAAGCACGCGTTGGATGTTGCACGTGGTATACATTCACACAATATCGGAAGCAATAATAACTAGTGCTCTTTAAATACTGGATCAAATCTTTTTACTTTTAATTGATCTTGGAACTTAATTATCACAACTACTTTCAATCAGCTGCTCAAAATCTTGGGTTGTTTTGGCTCTATCCAGGCAGTATTCAATGAATTGAGTTATTAAAGATATAATCACATCTTAGCAAGTAAATGTTTGATGCTTTTTTCAGTGTAGATTGTCCTTATGATGCTTTCAATATGATTTTTTCACTCCTAACAATGTTTCAGAAATGATATGTATGTACTTCGTTCTTAATATTGGTTGGTTGCTAATACTTGATGCCAACTCTTTCTTGTGGCTTAAGTAAGTTGCAATTCCATGTCGACACAATGTGGACGTCACAAAGCGATTTGTTCAATATAATTTCTCTTATGTCCTAAAAGTGCTCAGCATGAATACATATACAAGTTGCAACATAAAACATTGTTGAAGCTAGTAAAGCACATTCTCTATATAGAAATTAATCTCAAATTGATTCATTATAACCAATGATATGATTTCCATTTAATTTTGATGCTTTAATAATTAGATGTATATATCTAGTTTGGGTACTCTGCCGTTTTGCTTGCCTAGTGGATTCTTCACTGTTTAATTCCATTATTCTACCAATTGCACATTGAATCTCCTTACATAATTTCTCCATTTGAAACTACAGCATTGGTGGCTGCCGGATGGCTGTTGCTTGTCGTGATGTTCGACAAGCTATTGATGCCAGGGACAAGGCAAGGTAAGAAGTGCCCTTTTCTAATGAGCAAGCTTCTTCACATTAGATTAACATGTGTTTGGCTCTCTCGTGTATGTACATTTGTGTGTGTTTGTGGTGTTTATCATTTTTATTTGCATCATTTGCTTTCTCTTTCACCTTTTGTTTAGTTAAACTTGTTCACTCATCGTTGTATTGCAAATAATGTCTTGGCTGGTGGTGGGTCTATTTCATGCATAGCAGTCTATACCTTTCCATGAAACCAAAATTCATTTAGCTTTTCAAAGTTCTTACTAGAAGATCCATTCTTTCACCCCAGATTTAGGCAAAGAAAAGTAGCTCTGTTATGATAATCATGCATGCTCATTCTATTTTCAGTTTAATCTTTCTTTTAGTAAACATCGATCATTGGCATGATATAGTAGATATACTTATTCGAGAAATGCCACTATGCTCATGATAATTTATATAGGTTTGCATATTGAAGGACCTGATCAGTGACATGAAATAATAAAGTGGGCATCCTTACATTTTAGTGATATTAACTAGGCGCCTGAATTCCCATCCTCTCTAAAGTGTTATCATATGTATACCATACATTGTCTTAGTTTACAACTTTAGCTTTTACTTGTCTTATTTGGAAATACACATGCTAGTGTCAAATTTTCTATTCGATATATTTATCACATCATTCGAGGGGCCTTTTCCTCGGCGAAAGCAAGACATCAACTTGAGAAAACATACCATTTTATATTTCTTTCATCTTTTAACCTGACCATTTATGCACATCTTTATAGTGGTAACTAAAGGCTTTTATCTTGATTTTATGTTGTAGTTGTTAGTGTTTTTCCTTTAATTTTCCTTATCTTGTTAAACTTGATTGTTCTATGTTGAGGTAATTTGCACTTATTCTTTCTCTGATATTTTTTCCTCATAAATGTTGTGTGTATGCTGTTAGGTGCCTAGAAACTTTTGAGCGGGTTAAACAAGAGTACCAGACTCTCCGCAGCAGCTTTAATAATATTTTGCAGGTAATGTGCTTCTATCCTTCTCTTGGTATAAACATGGAGGATCCATCTAATCATTTGTTTTTCGCCTTCTGGATAATCATCCTCCATTGCAATCTTTGTAGAACTTAACAATAGTTTAAATTAGCAAATACACATGTTTGACTACTTTCGCCAGATGAATATCATAGAACTTTAATCCATATTTCGCTTAGTCTTACAATTTCTTTTTTCAATTAATACAGCTAGAGAGATCAATCTTGGCATATGAGAATCGCAGGCGCCGTGGATAGAGGGCTGCTTGAAAGGACATGCCTACTTATATAGGTCATGGTTATCTAAATAAATTAAGTTCGCTAGAACAGAACATGGAATTTGTTTGAGGATATTTCTTTTGGTACTTTGGTTGATTTGTTTTATGTTTGTGACTGAACATCATTACTGCTTTTGTTATGCAGTGTGTTTGAATTGAACCTATAAATCTTGTTGTTTAATGCATGTCTCCTTCACTAGGAGGAATTTGAAGTAGTTGATGTTTTATCTTATAAAATCTAAAGTAATTTAGAATTGTTTGATGAGAACATAAGGTGAGATCACTGAGATCTTACCTAGTTTATCTCAAACTAACTAAAATGTGAAGCTATTTTGGTTTACGATTCGCTATAGTATTTAAAAAACTTGTTTTTAAATATCTTTTTTGATTTTATTTATAAATATGAAAGTAAATTATTTTTTTTTTGTATTGAAAGCTTGAAAATGCGTTTCATAGTGTATCTAAATTTTTTTTTTGAAAATAAAGAGTAATTTTTTTATATTATTTTAAAAAATGTTTGAATTGTAAATTATAGTGATTTCACCTTATGATCTCATCTTTTACTTGAGTTATATCATGTAAGTATACTAATTTAGAAGTTTTGGATGAGAAAACAAGGTGATATCAATAAAATTTAGAAGAATGTTTGGAGAAGTAGACTGAAGAAGGTTTTTACATTTCTTTTTTGTTTTTTCAAAAACGTAGTATTAAAAAAACATATTATCTTTTGGAAAATGAATTTTGTGTTCTCAAGCATGGATATTTTGTTTTAAGATATGAACTATATATTTGGTGGTTGTGCTCTGACATACATGACGTGTATGGACAACATGCCGTTTATGAGTCATAAAAAATGATGACTTTCGTTCAGTGATAATTATAGAGGACGACAAATCGTTCTTAGTTATATCTTGATGGAAACTACATGTCTGTAGCAAAATCCGTATTTGGACTCCTGACCGGTCCAATAGCAAGAGGCTATGTGCTAAATGCCCAACTCTGATTGGCCCAATAGTAAAAGGCTCTATGCTAAGGCCCAGCTCTAGTTGACCCAATAATAGNAATTTCGTCCCTGAGATTTGCTGTAACACAATAGTCTTATAAAACTTATTAAAGTTTTAGTCTCAGTAACATTTTTGTCCTGTTTGCTAATGACAGAGACGAGAACATTGTTGACATTGACACTCAACACGACAGGGACAAAAATGTTACTTAAAAATTCCACGAAGCTGAAGTGCCTTTAAGTTAAACCTTAGGAACGAAATTGTTATCATCCCTCTGCCTCGTATTCTCGCTGCAGCATGCAGTCTCATTCGGTATCAAAATTGTTCTAGAATTGTCTAAACCTGCGTTCTTATTCATAACAAACTCCATAATCTTTTTAGGGGCGTTTGGTTGGGGATAACGTAAGATTATTGAAGTTATATCACAACGTTTAGTTGTTAAATAATATAAGATTCTGGTAATCTTCAAATACCAATAGTAGTTTTTGTTGGTAATATTGAAGGTAATCTGATTACCTCGACGATAGATCTGGTTGTCGACAGACAAATCTGTTACATCTAGCCATTTCATACCAAATCTCTAGCCGGAAATGGTCATACGACGCACGAAGGCCACTTCCTACCTTCCGTGCGCCGTTAGGTTGTCGGCGGCCGACAGTGGTTGGGTTGGTAGGGGTGCTTTGTTGATTTTCTAAAATTTTATTATAGGATTGTTTTTGTTAAGTTTTTAAATTCAGGGGGCTATAACAATCCAAATAATAATCAATATTAAAAAAAATATAATAATAATATTTAATTAGAAGACAATTCAATAATTTAAATAACATATCCACCAATTTATTCCTTCCAACCAAACATATTAATATAACATACCCACCGATTATCGAAACACATTTTCTTAAAGATTCTCAGTAATCTAACTTTTCAGTAATCTAACATTCTCAATAATCCAATATTCCCTGAACCAAACGCTCTAAGAGTTATTTTGAAAAGAATACTATAAAATATAAATACAAAAAAGGGAAATTTTCTTTGGAATTCAGTTAAATTATTAATGTTGATTATAAATTCACTAAACCAGTTTATTTCCGGAATGAACATAATCTTTTAGAATATTAACCCATCTTAAATTTTTATATTGTGTAGATCCCTATAAAGAAAGCCATTAATGAACCTTATGTGGAAGCCCAAAATCCCACTAGTTCCAAATTTAACCAATTTGTTTGGCTAAAGATTGCCTAATACCTTATCTCACTGAGATTCAAGAATTCTGAAATTTCAACCTGTTCTTAAATTTTCAGTTTTATGTTTAATTCTTTACCAAGACCATATATTTATCTTTATTGAATAATGCAATAATAATCAATCATTTCAGCTCCCGATAGAATTTGCATGGTACTAGATGATCTCAATTATTTTTCAATTTCTAAGATAAAGTCTATAACGATATGATTAATTTAGATATTAGATAGTATACCAGCAAAGAAATTCAAATGGTTGGTAATGAGGATGATGGAGCCAGCAATTTGTTTCAGGGCAAATTAAAAATTAAACGTAAATTCTATAAATTAAAAAACTGAGGCACTGATTTTCTCTACTTTGATAATGATTTAATCATTAGAGAATTAAATATTAATTATAAAATTAGTGGTTGTTTTATTGATTTATAATCAAAGTGAGAGAAGAAAAATCTAAGCTTGAAGTATCACAAAATTGACGAAAAGAATAAAATTATTAACCCAAAGACTTAACTCTTTGTAGAAGAAGTACAAATTGAATAATTTTTCATAGTGAAGCCCCCACTTCAGCCTTGGTGTCTCCGTCCCTGACGTTACACACCATTGTCCCTAAAGAGTTAACATAATGATTTAACAGTAAAGATTGAAAAATAATTGGGCCCAGCAGAGTCAGTCAAGTCTCCAAAAATAAGCGCTTGGCAACAATGCGCGTGTAACAGATTGATGCAATGGTTACAGTCCTACCTGTCTGAGTAATATGTTACTATGTATAGCTTCTACTGCCAAATGAGACACAAGTGCCAGTTTAGAAAATCATCATCTCCACTCTTAACGCTCAAACTTCTTCTACATAATGACAAAATTTTCATATGCTTGTTTTATTCTCTGCCTGCCCCATCAGTTACTATCATTCTCACTGCCATTTTGCTTTATAAACAGTTCCTCCATTTTTCTTTCTTCACCTAACTCTCCTCTCTCTTTTTCATTTGTGTTCATTTCATCCCCTTTCTTTTCTTCCCATTTCAACCACACAAATGGTGGGAACTAGCCTTGAACAACAGCTTGGAACTTCCTTCGTTCCATGCATGACCAGGTGGCATCACCTTCATCCTTATCACCCACCTCTTCTTTATCATCTCTCTACTTATCTTTTTCTATAAGATTTTGATTGTTTGCGGCTTTGCACTCTTTTTTTTTTTTTCTAATGGTTTCCATTTTGGGTTTATGCTTAATCATGTTTGAAAAGGTTATATATTTTTTATGTACGTGGTATAAATCTATGTGAGAAAGACATTAAACAGTTGTACAGTGGCTTGCTCTTTACTTGTTTTGATGAATTTTTGTTGAAGTTGCATTAATGCATGTTCATTTTATGGGGAATCACACTTGTATTCAACTTATATATGCTTCCTATCACTGTATTAGTTTCATGGTTTAATTTCTCTGGATTCGGCTCTGTTTGGTTGTTTTGTTAGTTGTCTTGAGTGTTAAGAAAACACCATAAATCAACTCATTTAATCCTGTTAATAATAATTTATTAACACTATGAAAGTATGTGAAAATTTTATGTAGCTTGTTTCTCTATATCGGAACCGAAAATGTGCAATATACATGATATATGAGGATAAATTTAAAAGCATTCTTTCCATATAATGTTATTGGATTTTTATTCTGAGTGTCCTGTTACTTGCAGGTATTCTGGATCATATTTTGAGAATGTTAGGAGATTACAGACTCAAGGAAACCTCAGTTTCTTACCGAAGGATCACTATGTTCATCAATGATGCTGATGTTTCCTGCAGAAACAACCAGGCTCATGTACTCTTAAAATTTCGTTTTGGTGTCTTAATTCAGTTTAAGTAAATATTTCTGCTGATTTTCTCAAAAGATTACTGTATTTCATCTATGATCAGGAATGAACCTGAACTGGACTATGAAACTTTAACTAGCTACCTTCATCAACTAGGGGAAGTAGCGCGAGGTAATATTTCAAATTACTATCTGAATGGTGAAGTTTTATGAGAAATCTGATGGCTACTATTGCTGTTTGCATACTATTTGATGAGAAATTTCTATTCTATCTATATAGCATGGCATTTGATGCATATCGAAATGATCGGAAGCATTCATGATAAGAATTCTTGGTTGTGTTTGCACGCATGTCTAAAGGTTTCTAAACATGTGGAAACACCTATAATTGCTGAGGAAATCTTCTATTTTGTAGGCATTGCATGAATGAATTACTACTAAGCCATGTTATATTGTACGTACAATATAGCGATCGACTCAAATTTTGTCAGATATATGTATTGATATGCACGCAGTGATGTGCGCGTGGTATACATTCACAAAGTTTGGAACGCGTTGGATGTTGCGGTGGTATACATTCACAAAATTTGGAAGCACGCGTGTGGATGTTGCACATACGAGCAATACATAACTAGTGCTCTTTAAATACGGATCAAATCTTTTACTTTAATTGATCTTGGAACTAATTATCACAACTACTTTCAATCATGTCTCAAAATCTTGGTTGTTTTGGCCTATCCAGGCAGTATTCAATGATGAGTTATTAAAGAATAATCACATCTTAGCAAGTAAATTTTTGATGCTTTTTTCAGTGTATATTGTCCTTATGTGCTTTCATATGATTTTTTCACTCCTAACAATGTTTCAGAAATGAATGTATGTACTTACTTCGTTCTTAATATTGGTTGGTTGCTAATACTTGAGCCAACTCTTTCTTGTGGCTTAAGTAAGTTGCAATTCCATGTCGACACAATGTGACGTCACAAAGCGATTTGTTCAATATAATTTCTC